CATTGTGTAAATGGACCACAGAATTTTATCCACTCATCTACTGGTGGACACTTGGGCTGCTTCCAAATCTTGGCTATTATAAATAACACTGCAAAGAACATAGGGGTGCACATATTCTTTCAAATCAGTGTTTTGAGTTTCTTTGGATATATCCCCAAAAGTAGAATTGCTGGGTTATAAGGCAGTTTCACTTTTAATTTTTTGAGGAAACTTCATACTGTTTTCTACAGTGGCTGCACCAATCTGCATTCCAACCAAGAGTGCACAGGGGTTCCCTTTTCTCCACATCTTTGCCAGCACTTGCAGTTTCTTGACTTATTGAAGATAGCCCTTCTGAGAACTGTGAGGTGATATCTCATTGTGGTATTAATTTGCATTTCTCTGATGATTAGTGATGTTGAGCATCTTTTCATATGTCTATTGTCCATCTGCATGTCCTCTTTGGACAAATGTCTATTCAGGTCCTCTGTTTATTTTTAAATTGGATTGCTTTGGGGTTTTTGGTGTTCAGTTGTATGAGTTTCTCATATAGCTTGGATATTAACCCCTTATTAGGTGTATCTTTGGTGAATATCTTTCCTCAATCAGTAGGGTTTCTTTTCATTTTTGATGGTTTCCTTTGCTGTGCAAAAACTTTTTAGTTTGATGTAATCTCATTTCTTTTTTCTTTTTATTTCTTTGCCTAAGGAGACATAGGCAAAATAATATTGCTAAGAGAGATGTCAAAGAGACTTCTGCTTATGTTTCAGGGATTTTAATTTTGAAAGAGGAAGTCCTAAAGACACATTTAACCCTGGAGGAAAAAAACAGATAAAGACTCATTCTGGTTGCCCCTTAAATCGCTTAGTGATGTAGAGCCATATATCTTAACTGCTTTCAGAGGCCTGGGAGCTAAAAACTTTGTCAAGAGCCTGAAAAACTTCCCACAACAGTAGTTCTAAGCATTTAGGGTGGGGGTTCGTTAAATAAACCTTAAAGTCCTTTCCAACACTGAAGTCCTGTCATTGTGTCATTCCAATTTCCTGAACACAGAAGAGAATAGAGTTCTGTTCATGTGTTTTCTCTTCAGACCCCAGATATATTAATGTCATAATATAATACAAGTTTCTATCCTGACCTTATTGTTTATAATATATATTTTTGTTAAGATATAATTGGCATATAACTATGTAAGTTTGAGGTGTACAACGTGTTGATTTGATTTTCCTTGATTTTTTTTTAGAACAAAAAAATATCCAGACATGTATTTTATTTATTTATTTATTTATTTATTTTTACATAGGATGAACTGTTTAGTCTTTTTTTACCTCTTTAATATTACATGCAAACTTTACATCATTTTATTTTATTTTTTTAAATTTTATTTTAATTTATTTTTTCAAATACATTTGTCTCTGCCTCCCCCCCACCACTTTCCCTTGCCCCCTCCCTCCTTCCCTCCCTCAGCTCTTCCCCTTTAGTTTTGTCCATGAGTCCTTGCAATATGTTCCTTGATTTTCCTCTTCCCTTCCTTTTCCCTGCCCCCCTCCCTCCTTCCCTCTTGTCTCTGTTGATTTCTATTCATTTCAGTGTTGCTGGTCTTATTTTCCTTGCATCTTTGTATTGTTGGTTAGGTTCCACTTATAGGTGAGATCATATGGTATTTGTCTTTTGCCCCCTGGCTTATTTCGCTTAGCATAATGCTCTCCAGTTCCATCCATGCTGTTGCGAAGTGTAGTAGTTCTTTTTTTCTTTCTGCTGCGTAGTACTCCATTGTGTATATGTACCATAACTTTTTGATCCAATCATCTACTGATGAGCATTTAGGTGGCTTCCAACACTTGGCTATTGTCAATTGTGCTGCTATGAACATTGGGGTGCATAGGTTCTTTTGTATTGGCGTTTTGGTATTCTTAGGGTATAGTCCCAGCAGGGGAATGACTGGATCAAAAGGCAGTTCCATTTTCAGCTTTTTGAGGAAATTCCACACTGCTTTCCACAGTGGCTGCACCAGTCTGCATTCCCACCAACAGTGTACTAGGGTTCCCTTTTCTCCACAGCCTCGCCAGCACCTGTTGTTTGTTGATCTGTTTATGATGGCCATTCTGACCAGTGTGAGGTGGTACCTCATGGTGGTTTTGATCTTCATTTCTCTGATGGCTAGTGATGCTGAGCATCCTTGATTTTCCTTGATCTTAAAAAAGAAAAATAAAAAGAAAAGAGAACCCAACACACTCACAAAATATGTACATACTCTCATGCACTCAGAACACTTTGACAAGCTGGGTTTTAATAAATTAAAGTAAACATGAAGGGAAAGGGCCATAACTTTTAGCCTTCAATCTGCCAAACTTGATGGAGTGAGTTTGAATCCTATTTAATAATACTTGTGAAGAAGAAAAAAATAATTTTTCTTCTACCTTTCTAAGTTTGGCTAATCTAATAATTAAATTAATTTGAGACAGATTAATGTAAGAGAATAATAAAATTTATTGCATATGTATATATATGGGTTCCCTAAGCATAAGGGACCTCAGGACAAAACAGACAGTTGAGGCTTATATGCCATTCTGAACTAAGTAGAGGGAGGCAGGAGTTTGGGACTTCAAAGGGAAAGCAGGCAATTCATAAGTAGATGAGAAAGAGCAATCATTTGGTAAACATTCTTGCCCAGAATCCAGAAACAGTGGGACAAACTTTGTTTGTAGATTCCCCCATGTGTCTGCCACACTTAGTTTATATTATGCTAAGGGAGTAATTCTCTTCCTTTAAGTAGGTTTTTCTATCTGAACTTCTTTAGGCAGGTAAGTGTAAGGTAAAAGTCTCCTCTTAAGTCTTTTGTTTCTTAAAATAGCCAGCTTAAAATAGTCAGTATCCCAAAAAGACATATTTTGGGGTGGCAAACTCTGCTTCCCTTCACTCAGCAAGGAAGGAAATCCCAGTGTCGGTTTCCCCCAAAACTTTAGTTATTTGGATTAATCTGAAGTCCAAATGGATCATTCCAGCTGGCTGCCTGATACCTGTGTGGCAATAGGAATTGAAGCAGAGTTATTACACTCTACTCAGATGGAAGGACCAAATCAAAAATTTAAAAATCACATTTTTATACTTTCAGTTCTTGATGCATAGTAGATGTTGAGTTAGATGTGATCAGTCAATAAATAAAATACATGACTGTGTTGTAGGTCAGAACTAGGAGGGTAAGGAGCTGCTTACTCCAAAGTTTGTATCAAAGGGTTAGAAGTGTCCGGGACCATGGCTCATTTGAGAAACAATAGGAAATTCAGTTGAACTGAAGTACTCTGAACTGAAGTATAGAGTACTCTGTGGTGGATGTGTAACAGCTAGAAATGAGGGTGAGCAGGTGAAACCAGATCACAAAGGGTTTTATATTCCATGCCATGGGTTTGGGATCTTATCTTGAAAGCAAAGGAGAAAGGAGTGAAAGAAAGGGAGTAGAAAGGGGTTTGAAGCTGGGGTGGGCTCTTTAGTTGGAGCATGATGACATGATTATTTATGTGTTTTAGAGATGGCTCTGACTTCTGATGTAATATGGATGAGAAGAGCATTGGGAAGCCAGCCAGGAGGGTGCAAACAAGACAAGGACCTGAGCAAGGCAGTGGTAGCAAGCAGAGATCGAAAGATATTTAGGACAGAATGAGGGACAAAAAGGTGCTAGAAGATAGAAGCTACCACCTTGACAGAAGAGAGTGAAATTAGTACCCCCCACAAAAACAAAATCCATTGACATTTGCCACTAACCAAGTAAAAAATAGAGCCTTGTGATAGCAGCATTTATGAGAAATAGCCCAGAGGTAAATTGACAGTAAATCTAATGTGTGTCAGCCACATGATAGAGCAGTCAAGAAAGCAAATGTCATCTTAGGGAGCTCAAGGAGAAAAGTCCAGTGTAGTCAAAGGATGTGTCAATCCTGGTCTGCTGTGTACAGAAGGGCCTGTGCCCTGGGGTTGGGAGCATGGGGAGGGGGGTAGGAGAGACTAACTTTCCACCTTCCATTTTCAAAGGGTATAAAGGAATAGTTGTAAACTAAAGAAAAACAAAAACCAAAACCTTGAACTCAGGTTTTTGGATCAACAGAGCCTGGAAGAACTGTGTGGGGCCAGATTTGTCTTCAAGTTGTTGCACCACCATGGAAGGAGGGACGAAACTGGATTTGCATGGCCTTGAGGCGACAGAAGTTAGCAGATGGCCAGTTTCACTCAGCCTAAAATCATGAGGCAGAGAACCAAGCAGTTGTCCAAGGAGCCAGTGAATCACTGGAAGTTGTCCAGCTTAGGGACCCTGTATATGGGACACACACACACACAGAGGCACACACACAACCTCCCCCCCCCCAAAAAAAAAACAACCCGCAACCACTGCGGAGATAAGAGTCAGTAGATGATCTTTGCTGTTCTTGCTGGCCCTGTGAAGTGTAAACTCTGGCCAAGCGGATGTACATTTCTCAACCATCCTGCCTCAGGGATGAGGTGAACAACAGTACCTCTCCGTTAGCTTTCTTATACCCGTTTATTCAAAGGTCGCGTGGAGGTCTGTAGGCTAAGTATGTTGCAACCTCTGAATCACTGTAACTTTGTGAGAGCGTTAGGGATGGGGGGAGCCCAGGCAAAGCCCGGCCATCACCAGGAGCAACGGCGCAGTGGGATAAACTTTGGCTCTGGCTTTGTCGCAAGACAGAGGCGGGGCTACTTGAATGGTGTCTCAGGAGAAGGCGATTGGCCCCGTGGGAATCTAAAGGGCGGGACTAGTCCATTGTTGCCATTGGTTCTTAAGGCAAGTTGAGGGTTGGCAGCGAGGGGGTGCAGCCTGTGCTGGCCGCAGCTGGGCGAGGGGCACACAGGGCGTTGGCACCAGGGTGCGCGCTTGCGTCGCCGGCTTGGATTCAGTGAGAACGCTTGTGTCATTCAACAGCTTGCCTCGCAGGCCATAGTCTCACGGAGCAACTGAGAGCTTTGCCGGTGCAATTGCGGCGGCTGGACAGAGGCAGCGGCGGCGGAGGCAGACCCGCTATCCCGGTGATCCAAGAGGAGACGCAGTGGCTTCTGAGGTTCCCGGTAAATGCCCTCAAGCTCTGCTCGCAGAAAAGGCGACCACGTCCCACTCCGGCCGGCCTCCCTGGCCTACCGGAGCTGTGGGGCCTTGCTGATAAGGCCACCCCGGACCCTCGGTGGGGATTAGGAAGAAGATGTGGAGAAGACCTGGGCCACCCTGCCTGCCCCTGAAGAGTCAGGTTTCCCAGAGATGCAGCCAGGCTCTTTCTCTGGCCCTTTCCTTTCACCCTAGACCTTGCCTCTCCTCCTGTGGCCCTGGCGCTGTACTAGGGGGTGCTCGGGCTGCTGTTCCAGCTGAGGTCACTCAGGGCACCCACCTGGGGTACACTGGCAGTGGTATGCCCCTCGTGGGAATTGAAGGTGCCCTCTCCTGTTGGATCCACACGCCAGGGGCCAGGGAGTTCGCTCTGCTACGAGGTCCTTGGCTTCAGGCACGTGTCAAGAGTTTCAGATTGAGGTTTCCAGTACAGATGCACTAAGACCTTTTTCAGTCTCCTTAAGGGAGTAGGTCTCACCCACAAGGCACGGCAGGGAGTACTGACTTGTGTGCGGGGGTGGGCAGTGGAGCAAGGGGAAGAAGCAAGTTGAAGAGGCCAACACTGTAGGAGAAACTGCCATCCCTGAGTGCAGAGGAATCGTGGAGTCCTTGGGACCCATGTCTTCTTTACATTTGGGCTACTGCTTTTTGAATTTCATTTAAAGCCCACAACTACCGGAGAACTTTGCAATGCTGCTAACTCCAAGGAGTGATTGGTATTAGAAAACCGGGTTCTAGTGTGAGTGATTGGTTACCCTTTGGGCCTTTTCATTTTCTCTGTCTTTTCTAGATTGAGAATGAGGTGTCAACTATCATGTCTATTTTGTACTGTTTCCTACCTACCTCTGATCTAACTTTGTAACTTCATGCTGTTGACAGTGTGTAAACTTGCGCAGCACAACTGGTAGAGAAAACCACTCTAAGGGACAGTATAGTTGGGACCTCCCAAGTTCTGTTTTTCATTTGCTTTTAGAATAATAAGGCATTCAAGTGGTCACATTATTTTTCTGTGCCCTGTGTAAGAGGGAGGAAATCACTCAAAACATGGGGTAACGTGAAACATGGAGTAACTTGCACGAAGGTATTTTTACTCTGACTCTTAAACACAGAGAAAGCATGACAATGGGATTAGGCCTGCTGGCACTGGTTCCCTAGGAGATCCCAGTTATGCATATCAGAGGATGGGTGGGGCTGACTTGTGGTGGAGTAACATTTGAGGGACTGGGCCAGCAGAGACCATCTTTGCTCTGGTGGGTCATGCACTTTCCATATAGTCCAAGCCAAAGATCACACCTGCAGTTGGCCCATTTATCTGGGTTCCCTATCATACATTCATGTGAAGAGAGTGGCCTTTTACTGGTTTCATATGTCATTTCCAGCATCAGAAGGAAAGGTGAGGCACAGAGGTTCAGAAATGTGGAGATAATGGTGGTGGTGGTGGTAGTGGTGTGTGTGTATGAGAGAGAGAGACTGGTTTTCTTCAAATATGGAAGCAGCTCTCTGCCACAGACACTGGCCACATGTTTATCTTCCCAGCATGCATTTCTGCCTTTGCTAGGAAGAGGGGCTTTTGCTGAGTTGTTTCAGATGCAGGTGGTGATATGTGTGCAACGCTGATTTAGTGTCCACTGGGGTGTATATGAGTACTATGTTATATCCAATGTGCTCCTGGAACTTTAAGAAGCTTTAAAGCCAAGATGGAGGTGGATGTAAACTAATGCCTGGGGCCCAGTCTGACCAAACGTGGACCGCATGGAATCCAGTGGTGTTTCACTCAGAAAATACAGTAAAAGAGCTGACCCACTTACAGGAAGAGAAGGTCAGCTGTAGTAAACAAAGCTCACATTAATTGAGCACTAATTGGGGATCAAGTACTCTACTTGCATCGTTTCCCTTAATCCTTCGAAAATTCTATAAGGTAGGCCCTATTATTATCTTCTGAAGCTCAAAGAGGTTAGATAAATCACCTAAGAAGTATCTCCATATGTTCTAGATGGACAGGGATAAGCCATTTCTGTATTGGTCTTTGGAGTGAAATTCTTCATTGTGGAGATGTGTCCTGCACTGCAGGTCACTTAGCATCTCTGGCCATCTGCCCACCACATGGCAGTGATATCCTTCCCTATACCAGTTATTGCAACAACTACAACCAGCTCTCCCTGTGCATGTCCCAAGACTCTTGAAGGAACACTACTAGCACATTTGAAAACCACTGACACATTCCCAGAAACTCCAGCACTCCTTTCATGTGAAAGAGCATTAAAACCATTATCATTTCTCTGACCCACAGTATCCTATGCTTCTGATGGCATTCACCATTTATTTCCACAGATCCCTGTTAATTGACTTAATTTCTTTCTCTTTTTAGTCTCAGTTCTTTGTGAGTGACTCATCATTGTATCCCCTGAAAAGTCTCACACTGAGCAGATGCTTGGTATGTACACCTGATTGATCTCCAAGTTCACTGATTAATGTTAATAGCTCTAGGAGCCTGAAAGAACAAACAAGTCTGCATTAGCATTGCACAATTCATCTTTAGGTTCTATTATTACTATTTTCACCCCTATGTACTAGGCGCCAAAGGTAAAATGACAAATCAGACAGATACAGTCCCTGCCCTGATGGAATTTGTAAAGTGGGGGTAGAGAAGGCGGAGATAAAAAACATTAAAAAATACTCATGTTAATTTGATCATTTCAGTGTTAGAGTGAAAATGAAATGTGTTGATATGCTACAACATACAACATGACAAGAGTAGGAGCAGTGCTATTTAAGATAATGCTCAGGGAAGACTTCTCTGGGCCGTGTCTGAAACATGAGAAGGAACCAGTCATGGGAAAATCTTGGGGGAGAGAACACCTCAGCTGGAAGGAATCACAAGTGCAAAAAGCCCTGAGGAGTGATGCTTATAAAGAACAGTAAAAAGGCCAGTGTGACTGGGATGGGCCAAATAGGGCAGTAGCAGACAAAATGAATTGAAAGAGATGAGTAGGGGCCATATTTCGAGGATAAGCAGTTTGGATTTTGTTCGAAGCATGGTGAAAAGCCACTGGAGGGTTTTGAACAGAGGAGTGATGCGATCCGACTGAAAGTTTTTTTAAAAAACATTTTAGCTGTTGTGTAGTGTAGACTCTCTGGGGGCAAGGATGGAAGAAGAGAGACTAGTTTGGGAGGCTGTTGCAGTAATCCAGGTTAGAGATGATGGTGTCTTGGAGCTGGAAGATGGAGGTGTATTTGGAATGTGTGGTAAACATGGGGTCAAAACGACTTGCTGAATGATTGAGTCTCAGGGAATGGAGCAATAACCCCTGGCTTTGAGCTTGAGCATGTGGGTGGAGGGGAGGTCTGTTGGGGAGATAGGAATCACTGGGTGACTTCCAAGGGTTCTGTTGCATTTGTTAGGTTGAGATGTGAATGAAACATTCAGCTTGGAAACACTGAATAGGCAGTTGAATTATCAATGTAATGGTTGGCTGGAGCTTCATCCTATATAAAAATTAAATGCAAATTAAAATGACTTTAAGTTACTGTTATATACTAATAAAAGTAGCAGAAATAGATATGATAATGAGCCAATGTGAGCAGGGCTGCACGGACTACATGGGAGTCGGGCATGTTAAAACTGATGCTACCATGATAAGTTGACTGATTCCTTCAGGGGAACAATTTGACAATGTGTAATAAACCATATGAACTTATTCCTAACTTTTTGTATGGTAATATATGTTGATGTGGAAATACTTTTTTAAATCCTCACCGAAGGATATTTTTATTGACTTTAGAGAGAGAGGAGGAGGAGAGAGAAAAAGAGAGAGGGAGGGACAGAGAGAGGTCAATTTTTCTCATATGCACCCTGAACTGGCATTGAACCTACAACCTAGGTATGTGCCCTGACTGAGGATTGAACCACAACCTCACATCCTTTTGGTGTACAAGGCAATGCTCCAACTAGCTCAACCACCCAGCTGGGGCTGGAAATCATTTTTTTTTAAATGTGGACAAAAATTTTCATAGTGGTGTCCTTTCTTTTACTAGTAGCCTTGGATGGCATGGCTCTGTTGGTTGGAGCATCCTCCTGTGGGAACTGAAAGGGTCAGTGGTCCAATTCCCAGTCAGGGCACATGCCCAGGTTGTGGGTCAATCCTCCATTGAGGCACATGCATCAGTGTTTCTCGCTTTCTCCCCTGCTTCTCTTCTCTCTTGAATGAGAATAAAATAAACATTTACAAGGAACATATAGCAAGGACTCATGGACAAAACCAAAGGGGTAGAGTTGAGGGAGGGTGGGGGGAGAGGGGCAAGGGAAAGTGGTGGGGGTAAGGCAGAGACAAATGTAGTTGAAAAAATAAATTAATTTAAAATAAAAAACATTTAAAGATAAAATGCAAATTCCCATGGAAAGGGAATATCTAACCAATTACATAGTAACTCTATAGAGTTCCTATAGCATTCTCTCTATATAGAATTTCTACAGAAATTTGCTATAGGCATGAAAAATGAGAAATGTGTTCACTATATCAGTATCTGAAGTTATCAGACAGATACAAAAACCAAATCATGATGTATAACTACACTGTGTAAATCTCAATGCTATTCATACAAAAAATTGTAAATATACAGTTGTCTTACTTTTTAAACCACTTCATCCACTTTTTTAAAAACACAACAAAGCAATGCAATATTTATTTGCCATCTCCAGCAACAAAGCTTTGAAACCAGGAAACAACCCTTTTGTATAAAGCAATCTCCTTCCCACCCACACCTGGTTATTGTTTATGAATACGAAGTACACAGAATATCCACTTTAAATGAACAAATTTAAAAACATACATAGAGATATACCCCATTCTGTCAAGTATTTTAGTCAGTTAAGAAGGCTAGTACCATTGAACCTGTTAAATAAGATTCTTCCTGTATTGTTTTTTTAGGTAGTCGGCCAATATCTATATGTATAAAAATCCCCTCC